TTATTTTTTGGACACCTGAACCTAAAATTATCTGGCATAATGTTGGGTCATCATAACCAGCTGGTTGTTTAGCTGGCTCGTTGTTAGCTGTCCAGAGATGGGACAGTCGTACGTATGATCTGGTGACAATAAGAAATTGAGACAATATTAGGACTAAACAAGCATGTTTTCATGTATTAGAGGGATGACTTCAGTTTCGGAGATGAAGCTGGAGATGAGAAGGAACTGGTTGAGCTGGAAATGTGGAAGGAGGCATAGGAGTGGTGGAGGAGGAGGCAGATGAATGGGTTAACCTTATATGTGGCTGGTCTCTAACCACATACATAAAATTTGATTAGGCAGAATTGTGATGTCCATCTTGACCAAGAGGGCGGGCCATATACAAATAGCATAAACAAAAAAATAACATCAAATGTGTTTTTAAAAAAAAGTCAAATAGAGTCAACCCCTTAAAGGAGTGTCAAAGGCTTTAGCAAATAAATATGTTTTATAAACAGTTGTAAACTCGGGGCAGATCATTCCACAGTGATCTGCCAGTCCAAAAACATGCAGTTAATGGGGTAAGGTTAGTTGATAATTCTAGATTGCCCTCTGATCTGAATGTGAGTGTGAATGGTTGTCTGTCTCTATGTGTTAGTACCGTGGCTCTCGCCCTATGGTAGCTGGGATACAATTGGTAACAGAGAATGAAGAATATTAAAAAAAATGCACCGTTGATAGCTGAAGAAATCTATTTTTGTTGTTCTTTATAAAAACAAAAAATTGAATAGCCTATATTCACTGTTCCTTTAAATGAACAAGAGACACCTTGAGAAAAGGGTTTGTTTTACGTTAAACTTGCATGCATTTTTTAGTATGTTTTCCATTTGGGCATAAAATCCACAGATTTCTTTTCAGTAATGCAAAAATCACTTTGTCAGTAGTCTAAAAATACATTACAGTGGTACTAGCATAAAAATACAAATGTTAATACTATTATTTTAATGCTATATTAATATACTAAACTAACTAAACTAATTTGAAATGAGCGCTTTAGGTCTATGATTAGCTTCACAGAATCTTTTATTCTGAAACAAGGAGCCGGAAATGCACTAATACACACCAGCGAAGAAGAGCACGAAGCTAGCTTGCCAAGCTAACCGGTTGTGGACATCTGATTGAAGATGTAAACATGTATAAACCTTTCGATTGAATGGGAAAAATAATTAACCGTGTTGTTAACAGGCGTTGTAGCTGCTGTCGGTTTGTGATTTGACACGGTGTCAAATGTGAAGAGGTAAGGTCACTGTAAAATTCAATCATGCATGAATCATTAAAAGCCGTCCATTGAATGAAGTAAAATTGCTCTGTGAGGTGAATAGCAGGCTATACTGCCTCAGACACTAGTTTGATACCAGTGCACTGTCTGATAATAAAGCTGGAACTTTGTTCAAACTTTCCGCATGAAAATTACTTAATTAAGCCTCTGATAACTGAATTTTTTGAAAGTTATACAATCACTTGTTTCAGCGTCCAGATGTTAATGTTTTTTCTAGTTTTCTTGTGTAACTATAGGTATTTCTATAGGTTTTTTGTTGGCATTGCCGGTGAAACAAACGTTATTCGCCAAATTATTGATATGACGTAAACTAAACATGCATACACGTGTCTGCCTGACCTAAATGACCGACCTCTGTGACTGTTATCAAATGTAATTCCTCTTGTTTCACTCATCAACAGATTCCAACATGTCCATCCAGTTTGTGTATAGCCATCAGCACTTCGTCACTGATGTGTATCGGATCAGTGGAAACAATTCCGCTAAAAACTCTGCATCAACAAAGTTTGACACCGCCATCCAAGGCGGCTGGGCAGACAGGATGGCACGGTGCATATTTCGCTACCATCTGGGGGATTTAAAAACGCGGGTCCTGCTGGGTTCTCATGGCTACGTGGCTCAGCTGAATATCCAAAGAGGAATAGAGAGAAGAAAGCCACAGGAGATCATGAGCATTAAGCAGGAGTTCAATGCCAAGCAGTTTAATTTTAACAAAATTAAACACGATGAAATCATATTTGAGATGATAAAGGACAAAAAAGGAGGTTCACCTTTGACTAACAATGCAGAGTGTCCTCAACCCCAGAAGATGGTTGTGTTGGTCAATGTTAGCCCTCTAGAGTTTGGACATTGTCTCTTTGTCCCAGATCCTGCTCACTGTCACCCACAGATCCTGACAAAGTTTGCAATCCATGTCGGCATTGAAGCTGTGCTTCTGAGCTCTGATCCCGGTTTCCGTGTGGGGTTCAACAGTCTGGGAGCATTTGCATCTGTCAATCATTTACACCTCCATGGATATTACCTAGACCATCCCCTCAAGATAGAGTCTAAGCCAGTTAAACCTTTATGTCCTGAAAAGGGATTTTATCGAATTTTGGATTTCCCGGCAGGCTTTTTGTTTTATGCAGAATCAGAGGAGGTGGAGAAAGTGGCCCAAACTATCTGTGAAGTCACAGATTTTCTTGTGAATGATAATATTGCTCATAACCTCTTTTTGACTAGAGGAAGCCCGCCGTGTGTTCAAACGCAAGGTGAAAAGGATTTCTGTTCAAGAAAAGGTGTTCGCGTTGCTGTGTGGCCCAGAATATCCTGCTTCGGTGCCAAAGAGGAGTCTGCCTTTAATGTTGCTCTATGTGAACTGGCTGGACATTTACCCTTTAAGAGCAAAAAGGACTTTGAGCGCATGACAGAGAAAGATGTCGTTGATGTAATCCAGAGCTATCTTTTGCCTGAAGATGAGTTTCACCAGCTGGAACAGCAGCTTACTGAACATTTATTGTGTTCATAATGTGCAGTCATTTTCATCAACTTACAGCTGGGCTGGAAGGGTCTTAGACTTTTGATGGCATAAATGGATGAATCTGGCCTCTGGATTTTGAATTAAATTGTAAAAACTGCAATACCGTACTGAATGTGTGTCAGAATCTTCCCTGTACAATGAAAGAGATTACACATGTTGAGATTTATGATATTTACAAGATAAAATGTGCTTTAATTGGTTAATGAATGTGTTTTAGCAAAACTGATATCAAATAAAATGTGACTAAAGAATGGAGTTTTGTGTCTGTCTGTTTAATGAATTGCTGTTCTTAGCCAAGTTTAATCGGGTCAGGAGAAGCTCGGGTGTGGTGGCACAGAGCGATTGTGAATGCTATTTGTTACATGTGAGCATTTTATGTTTGGTGTAAAAGGAGCATGGTGGTAGGATACATTTTTCCAAGCAAAGTATATAACAATAAGTGTCATTGGGTACAAAAGGTTTTGCATTGGTTCAATAGAAAGGAGCACATTACTGAGAATTAAGGGCTGTAAGTTCTGTGGAAATCAGGCATAGGGGCATGTTGAGATTTGGACATAATATTCTTGACATACTATATTCTTGTCTATTTGTAGTGAAAAGATGACCGTGCCTTATGTAAAAGCCAGCAGCTTGAAGGATGCATTTTGTCCTTGTGTTTTGGATACTGGGTATTTTCCACAGCTGTTATCCCAACACGTTCTCAATGTGACAAATCGTCAGCATGTTACGCTTTCAGTCACCCAACGCGTTCCTATGTTATTTAATGTTATTGGTAACATTACCTAAATAACTGTCACCTGACAGTTATCCTGGCTCCACCATAAATAAAACTGCACAACAAGCCCAAAGTTAGTTCACAGCTATTGTCAAATAACAACACTACATCGGGCATTATGAATTTAAAAAAACTCACTTCAGAAAGCCTGACAGTGGTTCTCAGATAAACATCAATGCTAGACATAATCTCTGAAGAGCAAATCATTTGCTAGAACGACATCACCAAGGTAGCAGCAGTAGCGAGAGGAGCTATCTGCTCACCTGTTGTAATGAGGCTCCTCACTGGGGATCACTCAGTAGCACATTAATCTGTATACTTGGCTGCCAACTTGCTCTTTTTCTCCTATAATGGTTCAAAATGGTTTGACAGTTTTAATATTTATTATATTTATTTAGCAGACAGGGCAAAGTATTTAAACAGATTAACGGGAGTTACTATAGTCCTTCTTTTGCTGGTCTATACCTGGATAAATGGGAACTTCGTGTTTAATCGGGAAAACATGTTTTTCACACATATTATTTGCTGGGGATAAATTAAAGATATTTGTTTGATTTGGTCTCGATCAGAGACAGAACTACAAGCTTTAAATAACATGCATTCCAATATTAAGCTATTGTTAGGTTATAGCAACACTATAGGAATTCCATATGTGGAAGACAACTAAAAAGGATATAGTGCTCATAACCTTGCTGAAAAAAATAAAGGCATTTTAATTTTATTTTGAAAAGACCTGAAGTTTTGGATATTTAATCCAAATTATTTGTTCCAGTTTACTGATTCTTTATTTTACTCCGCTTTCATTGTTTCTGAGCACTAAGTGCAATAAAATGTTTTAATGTGAAAGTGAAAGTGAAATTGTTCTCTATAATTTGCTTGTATGAACCAGAAAAATGCACAAAAAACTGGACACTTGTTTCAACCTTAAACCCAATGATGGCTGTTTCAATCAAACCTGTCTTAGACATCTTAGACATTATTTACAGTTCATCGAAACAGCCCTGAGCAAGGAGAGAAGAATGTCCCCTGTAGCCATCTAGAAATAAGAAAACATTAACTGCAAGTTCTGTACAAGCCTCTATTATTATTGAAAAGCTTCATTTGTTTTCCAAAAATTGGCTTTTTGTCCTAAGGAATAAGTTAATCTCGCTGTTATATTACATGCTAAGCAAACATAAAGCCTAACCAACGAAATTTAAGGAACAATGTTTTTTGCAGATTATTTAGGATGTGAATAAAGTTTGATTTGGTTTGATCAAAATTTTAGTAAAAACTGAAAATATGCTAAAATCAAAATTCAAAATCTAGATATCACTGAAAAGAGTCGCATGTGACTTGCAATTTGAAGGGAGAGTCTGTGGGTGTGTCCTCAGAGTCCCATCTTGAATCTAAAATGCTCAGACCTTTAAAGCGTCTGTCACTTTTGCAGAGAGCAGCTCAGCAGAATAATTCAGAATTCAGATAATAAGGCATTGAGATAAAAATAAAAAAAAACTAAAAAAAAATATATACATATATGTTGTTTTTTTTATTATTATTTTTATTTTTTAGAAAATCTATTTTAAGTAATCAAAAGCAATGGGAGCTTGTCAGAGCTTTAGGGAAATGTGTGATCGTGAAAAGAACACCAATGTTCATCTGAGTCTTCCAGCCGTTTGCATTGTGTGGCAGACTGCCATGATCATCTTGTTTGGGGTTTTTATACGTTATAATCACGAGTCAGATGCACACTGGGTAGAGCACAGAAAACATGAAAATTTAACAGACATTGAGAATGACTTCTACTTCAGATATCCAAGTAAGTAATTTATTTATTTCTATCTTTCTTCACCAGTAAATCCTGTAATGTATCCATTTCTATGTACAATTAGATATTTGTTCTATAATTTTATCTCTGCTAGCAAATAGTTTTTTCCAGTCCAGTAAAAAGCTTCTGGTTGACTTACCAGTTTCAGACCTCATATTATGCTAACCTTACAAATTACCTTCACATTGCTGACAAAGATCTGACTCCTAGGTGAATTTTCCCCAAGGATTTGACTCCTCTAAGGCCTCGTCCTGTTAAAAAGAAAAAGAAAAAGAAGAAGCTGAATGTCCATACTAAGCAATAAAGTGTGTCTAATTTTGATAATATGTTTTGTTTAGATTATGAGATTTTAAAGATCATGTAACATGGGGGGATATATTGGATGTATGGTTGTGGAAACTCTACAACACAGCCCACAGTGTCAATGTCAGGCTGTCGATAAGGCTAAGCCATCTGAGATGTGGTGTTGGATGTCAGATGAGAAGTTCTTTTCCTGATACACGTCAAAATTGGAGACTGAAAATACCCGGTTTTAAATTGATCAGTTTAACTGCAGGCAGTTTGCAACATCTCAAGCTTTGCTGGCTATGTTAGTTCGAAGACAGAAAAAAAGAACTTGTGCTAAAACACTTGCAGCTTATTGTTTCACAGTGCAGTGGCACCTATTGCGCCCCACAACGTGTCAGACAGTTGCAGTGTTATGTTGTAAATAATGCTGCTGTGCATGCTGGTATCTATGTATCCTATTTGCTAGTCATGTCAGGTACTGCCTGTCTCATGATTAAAGAACACTTCTTCAAGTGTGTAGCTGTAAATATAATCTCTAGATTTTTATACTTTTAATCTTGATTGATCTGAACTTCTAAGACCTGACGGATTTTTTTGGCTTAATTTAATGGAGTTATGCAATTCCTGACAATATATTAAATATAACTAACTTTAGTTAGATAGATATATAAATAACCTAATTTAAAAAAAACAAAAACGTGTTGCTAGATCTACTTTAAATAATTACAATGATTTTGAGCAGGTGTTGTCCATACTTGCACTACAGACCCTCCAGATTCATGGAAACTGCCAAATCATCACTGTCATCGTTTTCCTGGTCTGCCCGTGTTACTTTTAAAGACATTTCCTGCAAACCCTAAGGGTTAGCACCTGCATAAGTAACTAGATGTAACTCTGCATCATCAAAACATGTCATCATCTAATCTGCAACAGTAAATACACACAGAGTCCTCGAGTCATCTTCACGTTTTACCCCCTGTTATTTAATAAGCCCTCATGACTCCTGATGACATATTGTAAAAGTAAACTGCATGCTAGACAGAGCTCTGAAGGTGACAGTTTTTCCTCTAAATTCAAGAGTACACAATGTAACCTATAAAAGATCACAGGTTAATTAGTATCAGATTAAGAAAGAAAAAAGGACAACGATGGGTGTGATTAGCATTTTTGAAATCAAAAATATCTCTGCATACGATTTTATATAGTCACATTTAAAGCTCAGTTATTCTGAGAGAACGTGTACTTTAAATAGTACATACTTGGGGCAGAATCACCCCATTGCAAGAAGGTTGTGGGTTTGAATCCACCAGCCTGCATGCCCCCAGTTTGCATATGCTTCCTGTGTCTGCATGCGTTCCCTCTTGGTATTTTGGCTTCCCACAGTTCAAAGACATGCGTGTTAGTTTAACGGTGATTCTAAATTAGCCTTATGTGTGAATGTGAATGGTTTTCTGTCTCCCTGTGTTTCACAGTGTGTGTGTCTCTGTCACAGCTGTGACAGGGAGTGGGGTGGCTCAGGTTGTAGAGCAGATCAGCTACTGATCGGAAGGTTCCTCAGCATACAAAAATCCTTGGGCAAAATACTAACTCCAAATTGCCCTCTGATGCATTCATCAGAGTGTGAATTAGTTGCACTTGAGTTTAGAAGTGCTTGTATGAGTGGGGGTGAATGAGGCATGTTGGATAGAGCGCTTTGAGTACTCCGGGAGAATAGAAAAGCACTATATAAGAATCAGTCCATTTACCATTCTATCCCAACTGAATGAACGAGCCGAAGAAAATGAATAGATCCATGACACATGCTTACTAAGACATAAAATATAGTCATGGTGCATGGAAGGCTGACTTGAAGTAAATGGATTACATGTAAAGTTTCCATGTAATTTTGTTACATAAGCACAATGTAAATGTTAGATTTAATGGAATCTGGTCAAATGAAATTTACTGCATTGGGATACATGTAGAAATATCAAGCACATTTTACACAATGATTAATTATTATAATAAATAAACCTTTGATTTATATATTTCACTTTTATATTAAAAATGCTAATTTGCTGTGCAAATCATCCCTAAATTGTTTAAAGCCAGGTTTTCTTTTTCATTCTTTTTTTTTCTAGTTTTGTCTACATGAGCCCTCTTTTAGATTTTCCGCTCTTTCCACAATTTTTGCATCAACCCTTCAGACACTTACTTTGTTTACTCTAGTTGTGTGTTGGCAGACTGTAAGTGACTATCCACAACATGAGTTTGAAAGTAAAAACGTTATAACCACTATGCCACCAAGCTGTCCCTACTACCATTCCTTTCCTTTTTTCTACTTCTATTCTGTACTGCTCTTCTAATCACATTTTTCTGTTAGGTTTCCAAGATGTCCATGTGATGATATTTGTTGGATTTGGTTTCCTCATGACATTTCTTAAGCGATACAGCTTCGGAGGAGTAGGTTTCAACTTCCTCATCGCTGCCTTTGGTCTACAGTGGGCACTGCTGATGCAAGGCTGGTTCCACTCGCTGGACGCCGATGGGAAGATCAGAATTGGAATTGAAAAGTAATAGTTCAGTTTTATTGCTCATGATTTAAAGGAATCACTTCACACACAAAAAATCTTAAATGAAAGACTTACAGATATTAAATAACAGGTCATGTTATGAAATAATGTGATTCATGCTATGAGGTCTTGTCTTTGATTCAAATACGGTCTCTCCTATGGGAATATGTTTCCACCTGTATCCAGAAGAAAAAAGTGTAGGTGGAGAAACCAGTCTGAAAAATTGCCACAAAGATGTTTTTCAGCCACCCAAGAGTTTGTGTTTGTGGTTGGAAGTTAGACTGAAATTGGGGGTAATGGGAAATTATGCTACTTCTGAAGTGCTGCCAAAGATATGATAGCTGTGTTTGTGTGTAAAATAGAGATAGAGAAAGTGATCCACATGGGGTAATTCAAAACCGTGACCCTGTCCTGGCAGCATAGTTTCTACTGAAACACATTAAGATGCGTTTTCTTTTCATTTGCCACCCATGTGAATCTATGTTAAGTGTACAAAATGCAGCATTGTTAGTTCATTCATTTCCGAATAAGTGCACTCTTAGCCAAATAAATATGATGATCTTGCGCAAGGCCAGTGCAGAGAAGTAATGCTCTTTTATTTCCTTGCTTCTCCTTTACATTTTGGCTGTTTTGCCTTCTTCAGCCTGATCAATGCTGATTTCTGCGTGGCTGGCTGCTTAATTGCCTATGGAGCATTGCTGGGAAAAGTCAGTCCAGTCCAGCTAATGGTTCTGACTTTGTTTGGGATTACACTGTTTGCTGTCGAGGAATTTATCATCCTAAGTGTTATACACGTAAGTTTTAACAATCAGATTATACTTCACCAAAAATATATAATAAAAATGCTATCTAATCAGACAATACATATAATTTCCAGTTGTAAAAACAGGAGCTCATTTAGTTCATGTCTGTGAACGATCCAGACCCCGACATGATGTTTAGGTGACTTTTTCACTGTCATTTTATTGAACTAAAACACACACACACACACACACACACACACACACACACACACACACACACACACACACACA